GAATGAAACGTTGCAATATCGACTTGTGGGACTCCATCTCAAAGAAGACTTGTGAAGATGCAGATATGGAGAGGGCTACAAATATAATTGCCATGTTAAGCGAGGTTTGGTCGAGTTTGATTAATTGTTAGTTGTATATATTTCCATTGTTTCGACGTGGTCATCTCAAAGAAAAGAGTAGTTGCATGTTAGGAATTTCTTTTGGTTAAATCAGTTAATAAATGTTTATCTCAAGATCACTACTCAAAAACCAAGAACATATATATATATGTCTATATGATATTTGAGGTCAAGACTCAAAAACCAAGACCAAGAAAAATCTATAAACCTGTACAAGTTTGCTTCATCATCATTTGAACAAAAACATAAATCTACCTAAAAATTTCAAAAATTCTAGTTCGACGGGTTTAAAAAGATGTTAATTATCCTAGATTTGAAATCTACCACTCAGATAAGCTGCGTACATGTCGAAATATATGAGGTATTACATGGTTTGTGTCTTATAGCCTCCGAGATTATGAGATATAAGTATATAACGTAAACTGATAAAAATAAAAAGAATTAAACCAACGTCTCCCTCCAACCAAATGAAGCATCAATGGAAAAAAGTTCTCAACACTTCCTTAAGCTTTTAGACTTGTAGTTAGTGTTAGAAGAATCAAAGTATATCAACCATACCACATGTCACTAATCAAAGCCATTTATTTATTATTTAGAATTGATGTTTGAACGTAAAGAACATGCGCCTAAAGGTGAAAAAATATTGTAGTTGACTTTGACGTTTTTTTTTTTGAGGGGGATGACTTACCTTCTAGCTGCAGCAAACATCAAAACCGAAAAATTCAAAAACCAAAAAAAGTATTGATGAATAAATGATTTGCATTGACAAAAAATATTTCTCTATTTGATAGTATCTTTTTAGAGATGTCGCTATTTTGTTAAAAATCTAACAAAAAATGATAAATATAAATATATATATATATATATATCTATATATATATGATAATACTGATGTTAAGAATTTTTTTGGTCTTGATCTTCATTTATTTCTCTCACACTTGTGGCATAAAATCTCATTTAATGACCGAGAATATTTTATACGAAAATACCTTTATTGATTATGCAGTTTTAGCAATAAATCGGTGTATTTGTCAAGATCATCATTGTATTGACCCAACTAAAGACTAATGTCCTTACTTGAAAAAACTCTTTAAGTTGGAGATTGCCTTTAAATAGATAACAAATGTCCCCATAATATACAAATAAATACCTCAAAAAGATAAGCTTAGAAGAAAACTAGTAAAAGTGAAAATATGGAGAGAATAACTCCACTTGTATTACTTATTAGCCTACTTATCATGTTTGCCTCGGGTATTACTATATCTTTTTATTCTATTTATTTTCCGTATTTTTCATAGTTGCAAAAGTTCTTTTATATAATTTTATGATCACATTTTTCTCACATTAGTCTTATGGTAACTTTAATGATGTATACAATGTTACAGTTGTGAATCAGACTAGAGCAATATGTGTCGATGGACTTGGCACTTGCGAAAACTGCGACCAGAGATGCAAGTCCAAACACGGGCCATCAAGCCAAGGCGACTGTAGTGACTACTCTATTGGGGTGCCTCTGTGTAGATGCCACTACCAATGTGAACTACCCTCGCTGACTCCACTCAATACTTGCAATGGTGTGGCCGGTTTATGTAGTCAAAGGTGTCCGGAAAAATGTTGCGATATTAACTGTGCACATAAGTATACAGGTGGAAATGGGTTTTGTAACACTCTCGGCGATTCTAATGTTTGCCAGTGCCAGTATCCTTGTTAAAGCTGGCTGATAAAAGTTGTTATTATATTTTTATGTAGGATGATGATAAAATAATAACAAGTTCCATTATTATTGGTTTGTGGATGACGTTGTTTTTTTTTATGAATTGAATTGATCAACGTAGCTAAATTTTTTATTACATACTATTCTCTCTGTTTCAAATAGATCCATGTTCTAGAAAAAAAATTTGATTTCAAAAACATACATTTTTTCCATTTTTAATGTATTTATTAATAGGAAATTGGAAACTTCAAAAAAAAATGTATTTCTTAAAATTCTATTGGTTAAAAATTATAGGGAATAGTTAATTACAAAAAATAATATATTGGTAATTTACATTTGATAAGTGTGAAAATGTTATAATATGGAACATTTTAAAACAAAAGAATATTGTTTAGTTTCTGGTGCAAACAGATATTTGTAATCACCGGGAATTATGAGAATATTTATCTTGACACCAGGAATGAACTTAATAAACAAAAGCATAACCTTTATTTGAAACAAATGTTTATTTCAAGACCACTACTCAAAACGCAAGACATATATCTATATATCTTCGATAGTCTAAAAAATCAGATTTAGAAAGATTTTCTTAAAATCTAATTTATAAAATTCAAATTGATTCAATTCATTCTAAATAAGTTTAAACTATTATAAATTGATATAAATCGATATAAAGTAGTCTAAATATGTTAACCTAAGTTATAATGTTAGTTTATATTTTTGTTTTGTTTTGTTTCGTGTATTTAATTTTGATAATCAACAAAAATATTTTTTAATTACATTCAAAATTTAAAAAAAATATTTAAATTTAAAATGTATATAAAATAATTCAATAATTTTGTTAATGTCCCGCCACGGTTCCGAATAATCTGTCTAGTCACTAGTTGTCTTCAAATTTCCTGGTTATCATCTAGAAATTTTTTAAACATTGATATGTTCTATGTGATATTTGAGGTCAAGACCCAAAACTTTTTTTAAAGACCAAATATATATGTAGAGAAACTCTAAATTCTAAATTCTAAATTCTAAAGCAATACAAATTTCTCTATTTCTTTTCACAATAGTCGAAGGAGAATTATGAGATATAAGTATATAACTAAAACATAGTGGACAAAAATAAAAGAATGAAACCAACGTCTCCCTCCAACCAAATGAAACATCAATTGAAAAAAAGTTCTCAGTACCTCCTTACGCTTCTAGACTTTTAGCTAGTGTTAAAAGAATCTTAGTGTATTAGAAGAAATATCCTTTTAAATCACAAATAGCAAGAGATCGATCTTGTGCAGAAAGAAGTTTGGAAGGATGCACAAACAATGAGTATTGATGCCAAGATATGAGTCGAATCACTTGGGAGAGTTGCGCCAGAAAAAGGAGTTACAAAATTTCTGTTATCACATTTGTAAACGATCTGGTGGTGTGTTGTGGATCATCTTTCTCTTATAATAAAACAGACTTTGTAATAAACAGTGTCCGCGTTCTTAACCAGTACTCCTTCAGAGTTCAAAACATTCCACAAAGTTTGGCTTCTATATGTATCACAGATAATCTCCCTCTCCATATTTGTAATGTTCCCCAGAGAAGTATACATGTTTGACTCATGTGAAGCACTTGTACTCGTGTCCGTCGGTTACTAAATATTTTCTATTTCGCTATGATATCATGAACTAAATGTCCATGTTGATGTAGACTGCCTTAATTTGTAGCCAGTGCTGATGCCCAGTCCAGCGTTTCAACCAAACCTATAAAGAAACCAGCGAACCAGAGGTTTTGCAGCCTGTGTGGTGGTGCTAAATCTGTTGCAAATCATAAGATGCATGGTCATGATCACAAAGAGACAACTTTTTGCTTGTTTCATCACGATGGAACAGAAATGGGATATCAAGGAAGATGAGACTCATTTGGATTCTCATTAGTTTGTTTTCAGCCGGATGAGGTGGATTTGTAGGGATCCCATCAGGCCTGGCTCTGGCCCTGTGCGAGGTGCATTTGCACAAGACCCATTTCATTTTTTTGAGCTTTTTTAGTTTAGATTAGAACTCAATTATTTTTTTTTGTTTAAAATGTATGTGGAAAGGAATCTTAATTTTTTTTGTAGCACATGACCCATTTTATGTCTCAGACGGGCCTGGATCCCATGACCCGATGAGGTGTCCTCCATATGTGAGAATGTGAAGCATCTTGTCTATCTTGGAAAACAAGACATGTAAGGAGTAGAAACATGGTTTTTTATCCTTGTGTTGGTCCGCTCGGGTTTAGTCTGTTGACCCTAGTAAACAATGGTAACGTTGACGAGCTGGACGCCAACAAGTCTATATGCTTTGGTCTGACGAGAATCACATAAAAAGAGAAAAAAAAACAAAAATTGTCCTTTGGATTATGATGGTTTGCTTAAACTTGCATAGATGTGAAGCACATAAAATCCCCATCCTTTTGATTATGATGGTTCCACGGCTTCAACAAGTCTATACCTGCCTCCTGTTTCTTCATCAACAAGAAATCCCCATCCATTGTTTATCGATGATTTCTACAAACCACATGAAGCATAGATTGTGAATTTTTATATTTTAGAGAGACAAAAATTTGAAAAACTATGAAAAGAAAAAAAAACTCTCACGATTTTCCAAACTGTGTATAGGTCACGAACAAGACTCGATATTAGGAAAAAAAAATTAAAAGTAAATAAAAAAATTCAAAAGATCTAGAGAATATTTCATAACCATTTTTGGTCCAGATCATCATCTATTTTTCTCACACTTGCGGCATAAAATCTTATTTGATGACCGAGAATAATATTTATACGGAAGTATCTTTATTGACGATACAGTTTTTGCAATAAATCGGTGTATTTGTCAAGATAATCATAGTTTTGATCCAACAAAAGACAATCATAATAAAATTATTTTATACCGGACAGAAAATCTTATTTGATGACAAAGAATATATTTATACGAAAATACCTTTATTGACCATGCAGTTTTTGCAATAAATCGGTGTATTTGTCAAGATTATCATTGTATTGACCCAACAAAAGACTAATGACTTGAAAAAACTCTTTTAAGTTGGAGTCTACATATTGCTTTTAAATACCTAACAAATGTCCCCATAATATACAAATAAATACCTCAGAGAAAGATAAGCTCAGAAGAAAACTAGTAAACGTGAAAATATGGAGAGAATAACTCCACTTGTATTACTTGTTAGCCTACTTATCCTGTTTGCTTCAGGTATTATTGTGGAGTATCTCTCAATTATTATGTTTATTTTTATTTATTTTTCGCATTTTTCATAGTTTCAAAAGTTCTTTAATATAATTTTGTGATCACATTTTCTCATATTTCATGGAAAGTTTAATGATGTTTATAATGTTAAAGTTGTGAATCAGACTAGAGCAAATATATGTGTCGATGGACTCGGCACTTGCGAAAACTGCGACCAGAGATGCAAGTCCAAACACGGGCCATCAAGCCAAGGCGACTGTAGTGACCGCTCTATTGGAGAGCCTCTGTGCAGGTGCCACTACCAATGTGAACCACCCTCGCTGACTCCACTCAATACTTGCAATGGTGTGGCCGGTTTATGTAGTCAAAGGTGTCCAGAAAAATGTTGCGATATTAACTGTGCACATAAGTATACAGGTGGAAGTGGGTTTTGTAACTCCCTCGGCGATTCTAATGTTTGCCAGTGCCAATATCCTTGTTAAAACTGGCTGACAAAATTGTAAACCGACTATTTTTTTCATGTAGGACGATGATAAAATAAGGGAATTTGCATTGTATGACGTCCAAACAAATTATAATTAAGTCTATGGTCAAATGTCCTATTTTTCTTGTGTATCACATGTATTTTATGTAATATTGATATATCACCCTTCAAAACAACAAGTAAAACTTGCAGAGAAAAACTAAAATAAATAATTATGTGGTCACGTTGCATTCACTCTCGCCTTTCAACTTAATTAGATAGTTTTGAGGAAGATGAATATATATCATCTTGCATTTGTATGTATGACACCACCGTTGTTGTTGCCGGAGAAGTTTTATGGTAAAGAAGATAGATTTAAAGTCACGCATGGTTAGATTATCAACTCCACCTCCGATCACTCTGTTGTTACCACATATTCTTCTCCACTACCGTTGCAACCCGACTTTTCCTCACATCCTCTCACCATCATCGCAAGGAAATCAACGCAACTCTAAGATTGCGTTATTGCGATTGACAAGAAAGTGGGTGAAGAAGCGACATCAACGAAGATGAGAGAGATAACAAAGTCGCGGAAGGAAACTTTAAAATTGCAGAATCATGGTTGTAAAGATGAGGAAGAAGATACTTACATATTGTATACATATTTGTTTGAGGTAACTATACAATTTATGATATAGTATACTCTTGTACACATATTTCTATACTATATTTATAAAATAGAACAGTCTTTAACCCTTCAAATTTAACATTTTTCTTATTGACGCATTCATATTAGTGTACTATATTATTTATCATGTTATATTCTCTTTGTTTCTTGAGAGAAATGTTTTAGTGTGTTTACAATTATAGTGTGTACTAATGTGAAACGATTTGTATTATGTTTGTCCTATTCATGTTATGTAATGCGATATATTAATATATCGCTCATTTGATGATTAATAAAAAATGTTCTGTTTTGTTCACTAATATGTATTATATTCTGTATTTTGTTCCATTTCATTTGGGTTCAGAGTTTATATTTGAGTTTATGATTAATATTTGGGTTTAGGGTTTAGTGATTAAGATTTAAGGTTTAGTATTTTGAAAATGGGAGTTGAGGTTTGGGTTGAGGGTTTATATTTGGGTTTAGAATTTAGATTTCCTAATTTCACCAATAATTGTGCAATTTTTTTGTTCCATTTTATTTTGGTTTAGCCTTTACTCAGCCTTTCTATGACTGCAGATATACTCAGCCTTTCTATGGCTTTTGATTGTATTTCTTTCTCTTGGATTCAGCGTAGAAACAACAAGGATGCAGATTCATTGGCCAAGCAAGCCTTGGTGAATGAATCTTATGTAATATCGTCTTTGAACTTTGAAGCTCAAGTATGAATGGAAAAATCTGTGTTATAAGAAAAAAAATCACCGGAAATTATGACAATATTTATCTTGACATCGGGAATGAACTTAATAAACAAAAGCAAAACCCTTTATTTCAAAATACGAAAAAATAACAACCCAATAATTTTGTAGTACACATGGATGCCTCCTCTGAAATTTTCATTTTTAGTTGTATAAATTTCCATTGCTTGGACGTGGTCATCTCTAAGAAGAGTTGTTTGCATGTTAGGAGTTTCTTTGGTTAATCAATTAATAAATTTTTATGTCAAGATCACTACTCAAAACCCAGGACACACACACATATATATATCTTTGATAGCCTGAAAAGCGGCATAAACAGCAAATTAATTAGATTCAGAACGATTTTCTTAAAATCTGATTTATACAGTTAAAATCGATACAAACCATTCTAAATAAGTTTAAACTACTATTTATTGATTTAAATCGATCTAATCTGTTAAACTAAAAAATAATGTTAGTTTATACAATTTATTTTTATTTTTTATTTATATCTAATTTTGATAATTCACCAAAATAATTTAATAAGTATAGTCCAAATTAAAATATTTTATACTCCCTCCGTTTCATATTAAGTGTCGTTGTAGAGAATTTTTTGCGTTACAAAATAAGTGTCGTTTTCGGTTTTCAATGAAAAATTTATTAATTCTAGGTGTAATTTGTTTTTCTATTGATTAAAATATGGTTAGGTGTATGGGTAATTGTGTTTTTATATAGGAAATATGTAAATTTAATTATTTCTTTAATCCGTGTGCATAGCTATAGACTGACACTTATAATGAAATAGAGGGAGTATATATGTAAAATAATTCAATTTAAGGTCTCGCCAGGATCTCGAATAATCTGCTAGTCACTAGTTGTCTACAAATATCCTAGTTAGCATCTAGAGCTTTTTAAAACATTGATATGTTCTATGTGATATTTGAGGAATATATATGTAGAGACCAAATATATTTTCTTAAGACCAAATATATATGAAGAGAAACTCTATAAACCTGTATAAGTTTGCTTCATCAACATTCTGAACAATAACATATATCTATCTAAAGCAATACAAAATTCTCTTCTTTTTTTTCACAATAGTCGAAGAAGAAATATGAGATATAAGTATATAACGTAATGAATGAAACCAACGGCTCCCTCCAACCAAATGAAACATCAACTGAAAAAAAAAAGTTCTCAGTACCTCAAGCTTCTAGACTTGTAGCTAGTGTTAAAAGAATCTTAGTGTATTATAAGAAATATCCTTTTAAATCACAAATGCCAAGAGACCGATCTTGTGTAGTTTGAGAAGAGCTCCAAGAGTTTATCAAGCGTATCAGGGTGAAATTTCCTTCCAAACAAGAAGCAAGGTCTTTTGATTTACTTCCACATACAAGGCATCCATATTTCTTCACCCTATTGTTAACCAAAAGAAAAGATGTTATGTTACATAGAATTTTGCATAAGATCAGAGCTAAGACATGGTTCTGAAAGTGCGTACCATTCCAACACTTGTGACATGCACCACTGTCTCACTAGACTGCAGATGTATCAATCAAAAACTTCTTTTTAAAAAGTACTGCATGATGATAGCTTTTGGTTATATGATTTTATATATATCGTGAGGTTGTTTAGTAACTCATGTGTGGCGAAAATGCTTGAGACACATCACGCATATAAGTAGTTTCAAAACATTCCACAAAGTTTGGCTTCTATATGTATCACAGACAATCTCCCTCTCCATATTTGTAATAACTATTTGAGAATGTGAAGCATCTCGCCTATCTTGGAAAACAAGACACGTAAGGAGTAGAAACATGGTTATTTATCCTGGTGTTGGTCCGCTTGGGTTTAGTCTGTTGACCCTAGTAAACAATGGTAACGTTGACGAGCTGGTCGCCAACAAGTCTATATGCTTTGGTCTGACGAGAATCCCATATGTAAATACCCAAAAAAAGAAAAAAACAAACATTGTCCTTTTGATTATGATGGTTTGCTTAAACTTGCATAGATGTGAAGCACATAAAATCCCCATCCTTTTGATTATGATGGTTCCACGGCTTCAACAAGTCTATACCTGCCTCCTGTTTCTTCATCAACAAGAAATCCCCATCCATTGTTTATCGATGATTTCTACAAACCACATGAAGCATAGATGTGAATTTTTATATTTTAGAGAGACAAAAATTTGAAAAACTATGAAAAGAAAAAAAAACTCTCATGATTTTCCAAACTGTGTATAGGTCACGAACAAGACTCGATATTAGGAAAAAAAGATTAAAAGTAAATAAAAAAATTCAAAAGATCTAGAGAATATTTCATAACCGTTTTTGGCTAGATTTTTGGATACTGTTTGAAAATTGTTTAGAACTTACATTCTACCAATGTAGAAGGTAGACTAAGAGTTAGGATATGACATACCACGATTATAGATAAAAGAAATTCGGAAGAATGTAGTTTCTATCGTGGTAGACAAAATGTTACTTTTAGGACTTCCAATCTACCAAAAATTTAGACCATAGAAGTAGCGATAGATTTGGTATTCTGCCTTACTAGTTGTATGTTTTTGGTAGATTGTGCATCCTAAGTTCTTTAGAATATTGTCTTTTTGTTAGATTACATATTCTAAATTGTCGTAGATGGTAGATCTGAGTTACTAACACCTTTAGCCCATTTTTGAAATTACTATTTAAATTTTTTTTGAATTCAAAACTATTTTTCTTATATGCACATGCTTATCTACATCAAGTTTACTATTTTTTCCATATTTGTTTTGCTTTGTAAAAATACTAATATGATTTTTATATACAAAAAATGTAGTAAATATCCAAATATGGTAAAAATTGGTTTTGTTCGAAGGGGACAATACTATGGTTTTTTTTTTTTTTTTAACACTGAATTTCATTTAATCAAAGTAGTCCAGCATAGGACAATATAGCAAGACAGTCTGCGGGTAGAACCCTTGAAACAAATTTAACAATGAACATGTGAAAAAAACAAAAATACCAATAGGCACCATCAAAAGCTCGTATAGAAACTCCAAGTGAGACAAAGCTGATCTTATGGAGACCGAGCAGAAGCATAAGGGATGAACCATTAAACATGCAAGTAGAAGCTCATACGAGAGTCCAAGCCTTGAGGGTAATGACATGATTTAACCACACGGAGGCTGGTAAATGCGAGCAGCAGCACAACATTAAAATAAATTTCCAACTACATCACCTGCTAATTGTTTTCTCATAAAACCTCACAGGAGGATGAAAGCCAAACCCTTAATCTGAACTTAAGGATTGAATGAGTTAGAATTCTGAGAACTGCAAGTTCTGCTTTTATCCACAGTAGTGGCTTGAGAAGAACGCAGCTCTATCCAAAGTCTAACTCCAAGTGATGAATCACCTATTCATCCAGATCCAGTGACAACTCAATACACAATGAGGCGTTGATGTGTCTTTAGTAACAAAACCACACCGTCGATTTTCTGATCCGGCACCCAACAGTTGATCTTCCAATCCAGAACAAGACCAAAATTCCATTGCAAAACAAAACGACTCTCATTCCACGGGGTGTGGAACACCATACTACCAAACCAATACAATCACCAAGCCCAGCCACATCTAGACACACGGTCACCGGCGAAAGTCTAACCAATCCCAAACTCAGACTTGTGACATTCACCAGCTAGGGCTCTTGCTGGCCCTTTAAAACAGAGAACATGAGTGATTGTTGGCCTCTGAAACACCTCCACACCGAGCAAGCTGGCTGGGCCAGAGAGAATCAGACGGAGACGAAAAGGAGAAACGCCAACTAGCATCGCCGGACACCAACCCTTACACCGTTACATCCATCCTTTCACCACCAGATTGGAGCGACGACAAGCTTCTTCAGTTACAGAAGAGTGAATAACAATAGAGATGAAGAGAAAAACAATAAGAAAGGTGAATCCGGCGACCGCACAGGCGGCGGCCGCCAGAGAGCGTTATCAGATGCAAAGAAACCCTGAATCGATTGTTGCAATACTATGGTTTTATCTGTTCCTTATTGACAAGTTTCCCAAGAAGTAAACCAATGTCTTTCTCCAGCTAAATGAAGCATCAGTTGA